TGTAGCCAGGGAGACTGCAGCAGGGACATGCCAGGGCACAAACAAGCCACCCAGAACATGAATTGTTTTGACTTTCCAAGGGCTACTGGTAGGGTGACTGCAATTTGGGAGTCCCAAATTGGGTGGGACAGTCTCAAAATGCAGAGCTCAAGTCCCTGTCCTGGGTTGAATGACTCCAGGACAGTATTTGTCCTGGATTCCTGTGGCTCTGCTATGTACCTGCTAAAGGATGAGGGGCAGCACCAGCCTCTTCCCGGCCCCTCTTCGCCATGAGACCCCCACCCCCACCCCTGCTCCTTCTCTCCCTCTCCCCACTCTGAGGACCTGCCTCCTGGTCAGGACAGAAGCTGGAGCCAGGCCATGGTAAGGGCTGCCCAGGAGCCCAGGCTGCTGTGGGATTACACACAAAAGAATGAAGTTAAAACATTATTAAGGTTGAAAAGTTCAGCACCCTAGAGTGAGGAAATGCCAGAATTAAGGTTCCCCATTGAATCTCAGTTCCACCCTCTGTTGCATAGGCATTATGATACAGCCTTTCACTACATGATCACATACTGTTTTTTCCACAGGATCCCTGTCTCATTCAGTGCACAGGCTGGACCTGCTCTGGGGATGAAGAGCAGTGAAGGAGGCGGCAGGACCCCTGCTTCATTTGTTAATTGTGTGTTCCTCATTTTCCAGGTGCCTGACTTGATACCCTGGGGTCTGACTGGCAGAAGAGCTGAGCTCTCACTGCTGCAACTGACACCACTGAGAGCTTTGAACATACAACATGCTAGATAATGCTAAGGACCCTGGGAAATCAGGGTTAGCATCTCCAATTGGGCATCAAAAAAAGTAGAAACTTTTGGCTTTAATCTCTGTGCCTGAGCTCTCCCCCTGGGAAGTGGAGCTAATGCTTCCCCTTCCCCGTCCTCCCATCTTGCAGGGGAGTTGGGAAGATAAATGAGTTAATGTTTGTGAAGCACTCAGAACTGTCGTGATGAGTGCCATGGAAACGAATGGTTCGGTCTTCAGAGCAGGGTTTGTGTAGTGGGCAGCAAATCAGGGTTGGGGCCACCCATTGAACAATGATGGGAAAACCAAATATTGACTAGCTGCTCATTAGGGGAACCCCAGCCACCCGGTGCACTGAACGAGGCAGGGTCCTGTGGGAAAAAGGTAAGAGAACTGAGCCCTGTGGGATCTCACTAGAAACTCCCCTGATGGTTCATGATTCCACAGTGATCATTATGTTTTGTGATCTATCCGTCAGCCAGCTTCAAGCCAGACTGTGAAGAACCAGGGCACAAACCCCAGACTGGCTGTGAGTTCTATACTTAGATTTCACCAACTGAGTATCAAGTGTGAACTCCTCAAGTTCTATAGCAACCTTAACATGGAGTCACAGACAGTGCCCTTGGGTACTCTGATCTAGCTTGCTGCCCAGATGGGCCTGCCTTTGTGATAGATGGTCCCTTATACCAAAACCCACAACATTCAGGTTATGCCCAGTCCCAAAGGATCAGGCACTTACCCCAGGTCAACTGCATCTCAGATCCTTTACCAAAGATAACATTGTAGCCAATCTTATAATAAATTAACTAAAGATTATTAACTAACAAAAAGAAATGAGAGTAATATTTACAAGGTTACAGAAGGTAACTATACCACACAAATCAGTTACACTCTTAGGTTCCAAAAGGCTAATGGAAGCTGCTGTAATATGCAAGTTCTCTATGTCCTTCAGGGCTAACCCAGGCCAAGCACTGGGGAACTCTTGACTATGCTCAGAAATCGTTGCCTCTCCGAGTTCAAGCAGCATAGAGAGAATTTCTTCCTGACAACAATTTTTATTCCCTTCCCCCCAGAATTCAAGCCGGGACAAGTGCTTGTGCCCCTCTCCTCTTCATGGGTGTGTGGGGAGCAATCAACAGTCTTTTGTACTCTGATGATCCACAATGGCTTGTCTGGTGTCTATGGGCCTTCCTTTGGTGGAGAGGAGACGATCCCTCTTGTGGCAGCTAGTATTTCACACTTGGTAACGGTTCTCTCCTGACTGGGGGATTAACACTCTCTGAGCAAACACTTACATACGACCTTATAATATGAGGTACAGATGATATAAGTAAGATTAATACATACAGCCTCCTACAAGCTAAAAAGTCTAAAGCAAACACATTTGTATAACTCTGATACCTATTGTAACAATACTAACACACAGGTGAGCCAGACTGGGTCCAGCTCTGCATTCCTCAGGGTTCAGTTGATGCCTAGGGGCCTCGGCATGAGCTGGCACCTGGTTTGCCAGAGTCACAATCCACTGCATAGATTTTGTACTGAGCTCATTTTTACATGTGTCTTTGGCAGCTGCCTCGCCCCTCTGCCCACTAAGATGCATCCCCTGGGGTTGCCTCTAATATCCCAACTCTCTGAGCACTTCCAAAATTTGCCATGTATTTTTAAATCAACCTGCCAGAGAAATGTTCCTTTCTTTCCTAAAACAGATTGCATGTCTCCCACAAATGACATTGCTCTAACATAAGCCACAGGCCAGTCCTTGCTTACACACAGCCCCCCGACCTGAAGCAAATACTCACCAGCAACCATACACCACACAACAGAACCACTAACCCAGGAACCTGTCCTTGCAACAAAGCCCACTGCCAACTGTGTCCACATATCTATTCAGGGGACACCATCATAGGGTCTAATCACATCAGCCACACTTTCAGAGGCTCGTTCACCTGCACATCCACCGATGTGATATATGCCATCATGTGCCAGCAATGCCCCTCTGCCATGTACATTGGTCTAACTGGACAGTCTCTACATAAAAGAATAAATGGACACAAATCAGACGTCAAGAATTATAACATTCAAAAACCAGTCGGAGAACACTTCAATCTCTCTGGTCACTCGATTAGAGACCTAAAAGTGACAAATCTTCAACAAAAAAACTTCAAAAACAGACTCCAACGAGAAACTGCTGAATTGGAATTAATTTGCAAACTGGATACAATTAACTTAGGCTTGAATAGAGACTGGGAGTGGATGGGTCATTACACAAAGTAAAACTATTTCCCCTCCCCACCCCCCACTGTTCCTCAGATGTTCTTGTCAACTGCTGGAAATGGCCCACCTTGATTATCACTACAAAAGGTGTTCTCTCCCCCCCCCCCCCCGCTCTCCTGCTGGTATTAGCTCATCTTAAGTGATCACTCTCCTTACAGCGTGTATGGTAACACCCATTGTTTCATGTTCTCTATCATAGAATCATAGAATATAAGGGTTGGAAGGGACCCCAGAAGGTCATCTAGTCCAACCCCCTGCTCGAAGCAGGACCAATTCCCAGTTAAATCATCCCAGCCAGGGCTTTGTCAAGCCTGACCTTAAAAACCTCTAAGGAAGGAGATTCTACCACCTCCCTAGGTAACGCATTCCAGTGTTTCACCACCCTCTTAGTGAAAAAGTTTTTCCTAATATCCAATCTAAACCTCCCCCACTGCAGCTTGAGACCATTACTCCTCGTTCTGTCATCTGCTACCATTGAGAACAGTCTAGAGCCATCCTCTTTGGAACCCCCTTTCAGGTAGTTGAAAGCAGCTATCAAATCCCCCCTCATTCTTCTCTTCTGCAGGCTAAACAATCCCAGCTCCCTCAGCCTCTCCTCATAACTCATGTGTTCCAGACCCCTAATCATTTTTGTTGCCCTTCGCTGGACTCTCTCCAATTTATCCACATCCTTCTTGAAGTGTGGGGCCCAAAACTGGACACAGTACTCCAGATGAGGCCTCACCAATGTCGAATAGAGGGGAACGATCACGTCCCTCGATCTGCTCGCTATGCCCCTACTTATACATCCCAAAATGCCATTGGCCTTCTTGGCAACAAGGGCACACTGCTGACTCATATCCAGCTTCTCGTCCACTGTCACCCCTAGGTCCTTTTCCGCAGAACTGCTGCCTAGCCATTCGGTCCCTAGTCTGTAGCTGTGCATTGGGTTCTTCCGTCCTAAGTGCAGGACCCTGCACTTATCCTTATTGAACCTCATCAGATTTCTTTTGGCCCAATCCTCCAATTTGTCTAGGGCCCTCTGTATCCTATCCCTCCCCTCCAGCGTATCTACCACTCCTCCCAGTTTAGTATCATCCACAAATTTGCTGAGAGTGCAATCCACACCATCCTCCAGATCATTTATGAAGATATTGAACAAAACCGGCCCCAGGACCGACCCTTGGGGCACTCCACTTGATACCGGCTGCCAACTAGACATGGAGCCATTGATAACTACCCGTTGAGCCCGACAATCTAGCCAGCTTTCTACCCACCTTGTAGTGCATTCATCCAGCCCATACTTCCTTAACTTGCTGACAAGAATACTGTGGGAGACCGTGTCAAAAGCTTTGCTAAAGTCAAGAAACAATACATCCACTGCTTTCCCTTCATCCACAGAACCAGTAATCTCATCATAGAAGGCGATTAGATTAGTCAGGCATGACCTTCCCTTGGTGAATCCATGCTGGCTTTTCCTGATCACTTTCCTCTCATGCAAGTGTTTCAGGATTGATTCTTTGAGGACCTGCTCCATGATTTTTCCAGGGACTGAAGTGAGGCTGACTGGCCTGTAGTTCCCCGGATCCTCCTTCTTCCCTTTTTTAAAGATTGGCACTACATTAGCCTTTTTCCAGTCATCCGGGACTTCCCCGGTTTGCCACAAGTTTTCAAAGAGAATGGCCAATGGCTCTGCAAACACAGCCGCCAGTTCCTTCAGCACTCTCGGATGCAACTCGTCCAGCCCCATGGACTTGAGCACGTCCAGCTTTTCTAAATAGTCCCTAACCACCTCTATCTCCACAGAGGGCTGTCCATCTCTTCCCCTTCTCTTCTATGTATATAAATCTCCCCACTGTATTTTCCACTGAGTGCATCCGATGAAGTGAGCTGTAGCTCACGAAAGCTTATGCTCAAATAAATTTGTTAGTTTCTAAGGTGCCACAAGTCCTCCTTTTCTTTTTTAGGACTGGAATTGGACACTTCATACTCTTGGGGAGAGACTTTCCAAGGGCACATAGAACCTGTTTAATGCACAAGCTGCTGGGGTAGATCTGTAACTAGCGAGTCTTTCTGGTTGAATCAAGAAGAATTCAGCAGCAAAGGGCCTAGTGGGCAAACAAAGAAATGGAGACTCGACACAGTTCAAAGCATGTCTGAATGCATCATTTCCTTACAGACTCTCCTGACAATGGGTTTCCTCTGCTTCTTACTCATCAGAAATCATCCCAGATTGGTAAATTCAAGAACGGATACACTTTTTACACCTCTAATCATCTGTGAGCATCCAAACCAAGAAGCCAGTCCGCAGCATGCGTGTGCTGTGCAAAATGGAAACTGGCTAGCCAGCTAAGTGGGCTGACTAGGGACTGTGATCACAGCGACACATTCCCAGTTGTGAACCTTGAGCCATGGGAGAACTCAGCTGTGAGTGGCGCCCGTGAGGCCAGGCCCTCCTTGCTGCTCCCACCAAAGTCTCGGTGGAGCAGAATTCAGCCCCAATGGAGGTCACTGATGCTGCCCTGAAACTTTGCTCCTCCACAGTCCCCTTTCTGGAGGGGACAGCATTTTTAGCAGCATCAATGATCAAAGCCTGAAATATAACAAAGCTGCTAGAATAGTGTGGGCTTGGAAACTGAGGCAGGGGCATGAGGCGAAGGGAAAGGGGAGCCAGGAGAAGGAGAGGAGGGAGACATACAAGCTTTCTCTGGGGAGAGGAGGCAGCTGGGTGTGGCTGGCAGAGGGTCAGGAATGGAACTGGCAGCAACAGCTGCATGAAAGGAGCTGGAATGCTCTGGGGCAAAGGAGCAGCAAGCCCCAGACCCAGAGCGCCTCAGTGGTGGTCTAGGAGTGCTGGAGCATCCCTGTAGGCTCTCAGGCATGGCAGTTTGGAAGGGAATGCAGGGGGAGGGATGGTCGTGGGGGTGAGGGGCTCACTCTGTGGAGTGTTCAGTGGATATTCTCCCCTTCGGGTCACCTGCCCCGTCCACCCAGCCTGGATGGCTACGTGCTCCACAGAGGCAGTGGCTCTGGCAGGGAGACAGACACTCAAGCCAGCGGTTGCCTCTGCTGCCTCAGGCTTCTCCCTCATCCCCATGGCAGTGCTGGGTGGGTGCAGGTCCTGGCTGGCTCCCCTGCACGGCACTTGGTGGCCTGGCTTAGGTTACCTGGGCCTGTGGTAACAGCCATACCGCAGGGGTGGGTGTGTCAGCCATGAGAGGCAGACAGATCCCCCAGAGCTGCCCGGCTTGCTGGGCTGCTGGAGCCCAGGCCTGGAGCAGGACCAGTTGCTGGCTGTGTGCCTATGGCAGCACCTCCAGTGGGGGGATACCTAGTGCTAAGAGGAGGACTTCACTTGCAGCCTACATTCCTGAGAGATTGGCCTGGCCCCACCTTCCTGCCCCCACTCCCAATAGAGACACACAATGACACGTACAGACAGACACAAATCTATCGGTGTCTGCACCAAACTCCAGCCTGGACCTGCCAAAACCTGAGGGTCCAGACACCACACGAACAAGGGGTCTGAACCCCAACCAATAAGCAATTGAATCAGCTGGTTGTATACAACATTATCATCTATAAACACATGCCATGTAAGGTCTTGTATGAAGGCGTGTAACATTCTGAGCATGGTGGTCGGTATGGATATGCAGACATATGAATTTATGTTTGTGTAGGTATCAAAGTGTGCTCCTAATCTGTGCTGCGACATTCACGCCACCTCACAGCAGGGAGGGGGTCAGCAAGAAGCGAGGGGCAGCCTCCCCAGCCAGGTGACACTAGCCATAGGCGCCAGCTTCCTCCGGGCCTGGGGGGGTGTTCAACCCCCAGCTCCGCCCTAAGACCCGCCGCCACCCAACCCCTTCCCCACCAGCCCACATCTCCATCCTATCTCTTCCCAGCCCTGCTCTACCCCAGGTCCTGTCCCCACCCCACCCCTTCTCCCAAGTCCCCACCCCACCTCTTCCTGCCCTGCCTCTGCCCGGTCTCTTCCCACTCAATCCCATGAGCATGCCCCACCCCATCCCCACTCCTCCCCCCTCCTTCCCAACACCTCCTGCAAAACAGATGATTGCGGCGGGTGGTAGGCGCTTGGAGAGATGGGGTGTAGTGAGGCACTGGGGGGAAGGAGGGGAGCGGCTTGGAGCCTATGACACTAGCTCCAAGCACCTTGCATTGTCCAACCCAGAAACAGACAAGTGATAGGGAACCACTGATACAACTTGAAACTGAAAAGAAAACCCCAGACTTGCAAAATGAAGGGCTTGTCATCACGTACAACCCTACAGTGGCATAGCTTCAGAGAAGAGGCTCCCACAGCTCTCCCGTCAGCGTAGTGAATCCACCTCTGTGAGAGGCCATAGCTATGTTGATGGGAGAAGCTTTCCCGCTGACACAGCACTGTCTACATGGGGGGTTAGGCTGGTGTAACTACGTAGCCTAGGGGTGTGGATTTTTCACACCCGAGCAATGTAGTTATCCCGATATAGGGCTGTAGTGTAGACATGGCCTAAGAAAGGAGGGAATTTCCCTACCGTGAATCATCATCATAGGGTGAGAGAGAGAAAAAAAACCCTGCAAAGCCTATTAAAGGGGAAGGGGTTTGATGTGTAGGCTAGCCGGATGCTGAGGGCCAGCATCCAAGTGGGGTGCTGTTCATGCAGTGCTGGATCCCCTCTAGGACAGAGGGCATGCTGGGAAAGTGAGCAATGGCAATAGGTAACGTGTTAGAAAAGGGAATTTTATCTACTGTATAAGTGTGAAACCCTGAGGGTTTGTCTTTATGTTTATTTTCTGGGTAACTTGCTGGGTTTGCTGTCCTTCACCAACCCATCTCTGAATCGGGGGCTCTTCTAGTCAATGAACCTTTTGCTATTTTTCACCTAGGCAGGTCTCTGTGGTGCAAACTGTGTGGAGTGTGGGTCCCAAAGAGAACTGATAACGGGGAGCAGAGCAGAGGGGGAAAGTGAAAGTGTCTGGCAGTTAAGAACTCAGTGCAGATTGTTTTGGGGGCACTTGGAACTGGAAGGGCTGCTGAGGTCACCTTGCAAGGAGTGACCAGGGTGAGACCTTTATGCTGGTAAGCTGGCTACCGGTGCCAAGGCTCTGAGCCATGGCAGCATGGCAATAAGGCACCCAGCGATACAGGGCAGGAGGTGGCAGAACTCCTTACTGTCCTGGGTGATCCTCAAAACATCACAGACACACAGATAGACAGACAGACGCATACACACAGACACATACTGACACACAGACACACTGATAGACAGGCGCACACCCAGAGACACACTGATACAGACACAGAGAGACACAGGCACACACACAGAGACACACTGATACAGATACACACACAGAGACACCCTGATAGACAGACAGACATGCTGACACAGACACACTGATACAGACACACACACGCACTGACACAGACACACTGATAGACAGACAGACACACACACGCACTGACACAGACACACTGATAGACAGACAGACAGACACACACACACACACACACATGCAAATCAATCTGGTCTGCTTCAGGCACCATCCAGGAGCTTGCAAAAGCTGCTTCCTTCCATCCTTGCTGGTGCCAGGCTGAATGGGCCATGCCCCTTGACTCTTTCTAGCTTCTCACCCCCCTGTCCCGCACAGCCCCATTCACCCCAACCTTGTCTCTCCTTTCTCATATGAGGACTGAACAGTCGTTCACTTTTGCTGAAGTTGCTGCAAAATGTCTTTAGACATTTTATTAAATGTTTAGTTAGGAGGGAATGACTTCAGGGGGAGCTGCCCCGATGTCTGGAGCTAAGTTTGCCTAACACTTCCCGTTATCAGTTGCTCAGAACTTTGCCAGACTTTACCTGTTTGGCTGAAATATTCCCTACGCTCTGCCTCAGACAGTATCTACCTTGCTAGCTAGTCAGTTAGTAAAAGTCTGAACAAAAATGGTTCAGCTGTTTCCAACGACAGGCCAAAATAAATTGCCTCACTACTGTTAAAGACTATTCCAGCCATTTTTTGGAAAAGCTCTAGAGCTTCCATGCTGGTGAACAGGGGCTTGGACTTTCATAGGGATATCACGTTCAGGTCAACAAGGTGCCTCTTGCTGGCCATATACAATCCACTCAAGCTTGGTTGAAGTATAACCCTCCAAAAATCTTTGTTTGCCTGTGCTCACTAGCGTCTGGTAGCCACTTGCTGATAAATTCTTGGAACAGTCCTTATGCACTGAGCACGCTCCCCAGTGCCACTGACCATCACCTGCACAGGCCAATTGCACAGAGAGTGCCCTCGGGCCCAACAGAGCTGGAGCTCCAGAGTGGACACAGGTGCAGCAACTGCAGCCAGATATACTTTGGCCTAAAGGAAGAAATGCTGAGCTGAGAACTAGGAGGAGACCATGAAATCTGGGGCCTGACTTTCCACCGGCTACACCTTGTGCCGTTATTTGCGGCTGTGCAAAGTGGGTATAAAATGTTGCCAGCTTGGATATAATACCCACTTTGCAGGTGAAAATGACAATATAAGAGGCTGGACAATGGAGAAGCTGGCCTCTAATTTCAGCTCTTACATTCGGTGGTACTGATAATTCTGTGCCCTTCACAGCATGTGCACAGGCCCCCATCTGAGAAGCAGGTAAGTAGTATAATGACCCCATTATACAGAAAGATTGCACAAGGTCTCTTCTGGCAGCGCTAGGTAGCAGACCTAAGGCTCATCCCTGTCTTTCAAAATGGCTGTGCCAAATCTATGTGCTTGGCTGTGCTGTTTGTAATCACCAGCCCACACACCTCTCCAATGCCAAGCATAGAACCCAGGAACGCTGTGTTAGGATATAGATATTCAGTCCTGTCTGTAAAGGTCTATACTCTAAGAATTTAGGTGTATTCTTATCACTTAGCTAGTTATAGAGGTATAAAAGAAAGAATCAAAATCACTGTCTGCTGGTGTAAGGGCCTTCTCTTACTGTGACAGTCTGAGGCCCTGTGCTTAGGCTAAGATCTTTGGCAAAGCAGCAGAGGCAGCCATAAGCTGGGAAGCGAACGGTCAGATCCTCACATTCCAAACTAGTCACATTGAAATAAGGTGCTATTGGGCCGATAATGCCGATCGCCTCCAGAGAAAGGGAAGTGCCTAGAAGATGTAAAAGGAAACTTAGTTTGATAGCATCCTGTCTGGCAAGAACTCACTTATCAATAGCTGTGATGTGAAATCCTCATTTCTGTGTTTGTTCTATCACTGTAGTCCCCATTTCCCTATTGTTTGTCTGTATAATCTCTGCCTGGTTCTGTGATTGTTTCTGTCTGCTATATCATTAATTTTGCTGGGTGTAAACTAATTAAGGTGGTGGGATATAATTGGTTAAATAATCATGTTACAATATGTTAGGATTGGTTAGTTAAATTTCAGGAAAATGATTGATTAAGGTATAGCTAAGCAGAACTCAAGTTTTACTATATAGTCTGCAGTCAATCAGGAAGTGAGTGAATGAGTGGGGGAAATGGGAACAGGGAATGGGGGTGGGGAAATTGGAATCATGTTTAGCTAAGAGCAGGAATGGGAACAGGGACACAGGTAAGGCTCTGTGGTGTCAGAGCTGGGAAGGGGGACACTAAGGAAGGAAACTGGAATCATGCTTGCTGGAAGTTCACCCCAATAAACATTGAATTGTTTGCACCTTTGGACTTCGGGTATTGTTGCTCTCTGTTCATGCGAGAAGGACCATGGAAGTAAGTGGGTGAAGGAAAAAGCCCCTTAACATGCTGGTTCCCAGCAAATAGTTGTGTAAGAAACTGATACAGTGTGTGCTGCATTTCCTTCTAGTTCTGGTCCACATAGAAGGTAAATCCTGCCACTGCTACCAGATACTCTTGTTAAAGACTCGAACCCCAGACGGCATGGTTCGTTGTCTGACTGGAGAGAGACAGGCAACACCAGCAAGGTCCGAACACAAAGCTCTTTATTGAAGAGTGCACAGAACAATAGAGAGCAGCCCGTCTCCAAAGAGAACCAGCAGCCTCTAAGTAAAACTAATAGTTTTTTATAGACAGTTCTGTCGCATCACAGATTTATTCATAAAGCAGCCCACCCCTCCCCTATGTTAGTTCAAATCCTCTTTCTCTATTATGCATGCACTTCTACCCCCTTAGAATCATAGAATCATAGAATATAAGGGTTGGAAGGGACCCCAGAAGGTCATCTAGTCCAACCCCCTGCTCGAAGCAGGACCAATTCCCAGTTAAATCATCCCAGCCAGGGCTTTGTCAAGCCTGACCTTAAAAACCTCTAAGGAAGGAGATTCTACCACCTCCCTAGGTAACGCATTCCAGTGTTTCACCACCCTCTTAGTGAAAAAGTTTTTCCTAATATCCAATCTAAACCTCCCCCACTGCAGCTTGATGGAAGATAACTTTTTGTAGATAACCTTATTGTAGATAACTTTTAGCAAATCATAATGCTTCACTAACTTTCTTATCAGTATGGGTGTCAACCAGGAGACGAGGCATTAAGAACAGACATAACACAAAAACAAGGAGTGGAACACAGCGCCTCCGTATCTCAACAAGACAGCTCCCAGAACATCTGGTACAAAAATGCAGGAATGCAGGCCTCCCCTTTTTTCTTACTCCCTGCAACTTAAACAAGTATTCTTTTATTCTATTTATCTCGTTCAGGGACTTTCCCAGCAACCTTTATTGGCCTGACTTTGGTTCGGTTGGCATAACTGCTTCATATTTAATTTTTCTCACCTAATACACTGTTAGTGCATGTGCTAGAGGTGGATCCTGTGTGTCTAAAGCATCCAACCCTGAGGATTCCACATGATGGGATTCCTCTTGTTTCTGTTTTAGTTTTAAAAAGCTGGAAAATTACCTACAAAATACATGAGCAGGATGTTAAGTTTGCAAAGTCAAGCCCTCAAAAGTCAGGAAATGCCAATGCACAGTTGCCCATGAAATCTTAGCGCTACCCCTTTGAGTGTCTGCATTAAGTCACAGTCTTTATAATCACATGCTATTTTTTCCATAGAACTCCTGCCTCATTCAGTGCACAGGATGGACAGTGAGTGAGAGAGGGAACTGTCTGAAGAAAAAGACATCTCTTGTGGTTAAATTTCTGGATTGGGGCCCAAGCTAGCTAGATTCTGTCCCTGGCTTTGCTGCAGAATCCCTGCACAATACTGGAAAAGACCTTTTCTTAATGCAGACGCACACAGGGGCAGAATTCAGGTGACATGAGCAGCCTTAATTCTGGCATTTCCTGATTTCTGAGGGCTTTAAATGGTAACCGTAATGGTTCTTTTATCACTGTTGTTATATGTCATGTGTAATAGTTAGGGTGAGCTGTTTGATAGGTAGTTATTGTTTGGGCTATTGCCTAGTTGCTGCTTTTTCACTGCACATGTTGCAATATTATGCTGATGACTGGGAATTAACAATTCAGCTTTTTACAAACAGGTTTACTTGTTCTGTGAGTAGTTCACAATAAGAGTCACTCACTCCGATCAGTGCTAACTGGTGAATTATTCAGTATTCTCTGGTAATTAAAGAATAAGTCATTTCATTTATTTAATAAAATTATTGCAAAATAACACAGTTGCTTAGTGTGTAATTACTAAATACTACAGCATGTTATCCACGAAACAGCCGCATTCTTTTCCCACCCCTCAGAAGTTTGAAGGCTAATTACAAGTCATTACTTTTGGTGGCGCCCAGAGCCCTTTCGGAGGCTTTGGTAGGCTCATAAGTGGGGTGAATTAGTGGAGGAACCACGCCCTCCTCTTTGCCCACTAGGGAGATTACACCCCATCAGTGTATGGGGGGGTGGGGGGAATCTGAGCCTAGATCTGTCTCATTTTGAAGCTATTTGATAAATCTCGAGATCTATTTACTGGCTCTTGCTAATCTCTAGGGAGCAGGAAGCCATCGCTTTATTCAATGTCAGTAAAAGAGTACAGACCCAGCGAAGGGTAATGATTCCTGGAGATCTGCTGGATCCTAAGGGATCCACACGGGGCCCTGGCCCTGCTGTAATCCCACACTGGCTCTACCTTTGGTGGGCTCCCTCCAGACCACAGCAGCCCTCAGAGATTCCCGCAGGGGTGGGGAACAACACAGAAAAGGTCACTGACTTGGGTATTTGTTCCCTTCCTGAGTAACAGCTGTGAGGATGGGCAACAGGCACCCGCTTCTTGGCCCTACCCCTGGCCAACACAGCCCTCACCCCCCTGCCCCAAATGGACCATGCACTGCACTGAGCACAGTCTGTGCGCAGCTCAGCACAGAGGGGGAGAGATATAGGAAGATTCCCCTCCAGGAGCTTACAAAGGGGAGGGACATCCGGTGACTGAACCTGGCTTGCTCTAGCCTGGGAGAAAAGCCAAGGAGATGCTGAGCTCTCCAGGGTATAGCTGCAGAAAATCAGTGCTAGGATCCTGAGCCTAGGGGCTGCTGAATAGCTTGGGTGCTCCAGCTAAATCCAGAAAGCAACTATCCACAGACACTGCCCAGCCAGGTTACTGAGGAGCTGACCAGCAATGGGATGAAGAGGGGCCTATGCCTTTATGTCTCCTGTTTGATTATAAGGATGATGAAGGCCTGAGAGTTTGTCTTTTTGACATGAGAAATGCAAATCTGATCTGCCCAGGCACATAAGAGATAGCAGCAGAGTGGGGAAGGGAGACGTAGTCAGACTGTCTGACACACTTTGGGTTGAGTTTGCTTTTATAGATGCCTGTGTAACTCAAATGCCTAATCCACACTTGGAAAAAGGAGGTCTGAGTTAAAAATCCAAACCCTGCCCCCCCCACCCCCTTTGAGTAACAGGGAGAAAAAGCTCCTGATACACAGGTAAGCCCAGCCATGAGTCCTCCAGCTGAACCAGGGGATCCAAGGATCACTAGTTCTGACATTTCTAAGGTAAGAAGCAATCGAACAAGCCAGAGAGGTGAGGGTGATGGTGGAATGGGAGGGCCGTGAGACTGGGAGGAGCAGGGAAGGACAGGTGCCCACACCATGCAGGCCAGTGAACTGGACCCCGAAGGATGCCATGTGGGGTTGGCTACAATCTGGCTGTAGGTTGGTGCTACGTGTAGTCTGAGATATGGAGTCAGTCGGGTCAGGTCTCTGGCATGCTTCTGTCTCAGGGCCTGGAACATGTATATGAAGCATTCAGACAGGAAGCCTGGAAAAGAGATGCATTCCTTGGCACTGGGGACCCTGTCAGGATATCCAGTACATTGGTCCCCTCTAGGAGTGTTTCCTGCCCAGAGGGCTCCAGGAACTTACTGGCAGCCCTGCCTCCTCCTGTTTCCTTCACTCGGGGGGTTTTACAGGAGCAGAAAGTTTGTTTTTGGTGTCCCAGCTCTTATCTTGTAACAGCAGCCTGTCCCCTCCCCTTGGAGAGACAGACAGAGGCAGAGAGAGCTCTCCTGTATCAGCCACAATTCGCACAGCACGCGGACACCATGGGGAACTGCATCATCATTGTGGTGAGTCCAGGGGCTCCTTTGCCTACCTCCACTGTCCTCCTAAAATAGATTCGCTCCCATAGTAAAGGTGAGGGGCTGAGAGTAAAGGCAGAGTGTGAAGTGGTGCAGGTGTAACCCACACAACTTCTGGGTGTGGTGTTCTGTCCCATCTAGTGGCACCAAGACCACTTAGAGAGTGAGTTAAATGGGTCTACAGCCTTAGCTAACAGCCAGGTGGCTTTTAGCTCATGTGGTAGAGGCTCATGCACTAAGGCTAGCTTCAGAGGTCCCCAGTTCGATCCCACCCGCTGATGACCAGGGTCTGTCGGCACTACACAGGCACCTGCTGGGTTAACGCTCCTCACTCCTGGGTACAGCTGGTCAGGGCTTTCTGACAAAACAGGTTTTCACTGGAAAATGGTGAGTCGTGGAAACGGAGACTTTCCTTGGGAATGTCTTGGCATCTGTGAAACTGCCCAGGAAGGTTTCTCAGCTCCAGAATAAAATTTCTGGTCAAAGCCAGACAGGGCCTTGTCCCAGTTGCTGACAGCCCAGTGCTTCGGGCACTCCCCAGGCCCACATCTGAACCTGGGCTATAGGACCTCTCTCCAGCGTGGCTGTCTGCACTGTTCTGCTTAGTCGGAGTAATTAAGTCAGGACAGATCCTGGGGTTAGGGTACTGAGGGGAGCCCCAGATTCAAGGCCCTGCACCAAGCCAGGCAATGCTGGGATGTGATCCCAGGTCTCCAGCAGAGCAGCTGAACCTCTGGACTATTGGATATTTGAACGCTGCTCTCGCTCGCTCTCTGGTTTTTCCAGGAAAACATTGACAGGGCTTGATGTCCAGCTGATGTGGAATGGGGAAAAAAATAGCTCTTGAAAACTTCCATGGGATGGGAAAGCATTTCCCCCCTCAGCTCTCCTCCTGCCTCCCCCTCCACCTGCCAGTGCCAGGGGAGAGACGCCCTGTACCTATGATTTGTGACGGGGGGTTTCCGCTCCCTGCTCCAAGTGGGACAAAGACCCAAACCAAGAAGCATGCCAGCTCTCCCTGCAGGAAGGGGAAGGTACTGCAGGATTCCTTCCTGGGGAAAGTAGCTCTAGAATCTCCTCTGTAAGAGTCATTATTTCTGATGGCAATTTCCTCCAATAAAGTGAGGAGACTCTGAGCTTGGGGGGAATGCAGGTGAGACAAAAATGAGTGACATCTCTCCA